GATTATCGTGTAGCACAAGTGCGTGTCGTATTCGCACTACCCCTTACCACCGTGGCGCGGTTATTTCGAAAGGCCCCTCCAAAGCACTTGGCTTATGTGGAGTGGTTCTCCCCGTTCGCTTTGGCTCCGGACAGAACGAGTGGTATGTACAAGATAACTAGGTCTATCCGTGATGGCGAGAGACTTGCAAGTATCATACCGGTCTCGCAGATTTACCGGAGCATACACCTGCTCCCGAAGTTTGGGTCCTCAGTTCCTCGGACTTGGTCAAGTCACACAGTCCTTGATGATGCATCTGCATTTTATGTTAATCCATTCCTAGATCGCCACACTTTTACCATGTTCCTGTAAGCTGTATAATAGAGATAATATGAAATGATGCTATTTGACAATGGTACCTAGACATAATTACAGAAAATCGACGAAAATACTAGCAGATTGTCGCTTTCTGTGTTATATGGATTATTTATAAACCCTCAAAATTTACATAAAATTATGACGGGAGGGTTTTCCTGATGCAGAACCCATGCCTTTTCCCTGAAGAGCGTGCGACTAACTCCAAGGTGATGTTCGCAAAGCCATCAGATGTGGGTCCCCAATGCTGTACTCATGGGAGACACTCTTGCCTCGTGCCGAGTCTTCTCGCAGATATACCAATGGTCTTATCATCTTTACCTCCCTCCTTTTCCTCCACATAGCAATGCCTGTCGCGCTCACTTTCGGCTCATTCGGTGACATTGTCTCCCTGGTTCAGCTCGCTTCCTCCGTGATAGCGAGATTTATCAGCACTCAAGGGAACTTGCAGCAGTACAGCGAGGTCCTCTTAGAACTCCATGCCTTATTGCAGTCCCTAGAAGTGCTACAGCACGAGCTGCAGGCTCCGCGAACGGCTGGTGCGTCCTCAGTTTCCTATGACGTGAGACGCGACATCGAAGCGCGCATCGCGGCCTGTCGCGTTGCACTGGAGAAGATGGAGAGGGGCATCATTTGGTACCAGGTGTGCCTAAGGGAGCGCCGCCCAAGGGAGTGGAGGGAACTCTGGCGTCGTGCTGGATATCGCCTTTTTGCTCCAGAGGAGCTCGAGAGATATAAACAAGAAATCCAGAGGCAGCATGCATCGATGAACATTGCATTATTGATGCTCACTCGGTAAGCATGTGCCCTTGTTTTCGGTTTCTGATCAGTTTATCCCTCCTGACATTGCCGGACTCAGGCAAACTCAGGAAGCTACGCACAGCCTTGTGGTTGCGGGCCGCTCGGTGCTCCATGAAGTTCATGCTACCGCAGAATCGACCAGATGCGATGTGAAGCTGGTTCTGAAGACCGTTCTTGAGATGGGCAAGCCGTCACCCCATTTCGTGGGCTATCCATGGGAGGGCGGACGCGGCCCCCATCAGCGAATGATTCTCCTCAGAGTTCCATTCGGGTTGGAGTTCTGGATTCCCGAAGAATTTTGCGAGGACTGGCAGGTGTGTCTTGATACCTCATATTGATTATCTATCTATATGGTAACATGGACGGAATCTTATATCCTTAGACCGTCGTGCGGATGATGGAAGCCGCACTTGAAGCACCCATAAATTCCTTACGAGAAGCACTTATTCCTGACGACGCCTCTGTCTTCGACATATTTGACTTCCATTATACTTGGAGTTTTGACGCCGTGACCAGGAAAGACGTTTTCGCCTTCCTCCATCCAGGTTATCTGTCCGACTTCTCGGCTGGACGTCGCCGGACAAGACGGTGCGGCATAGAGGGCGAGCGCAAGCATAATGGGGGGTTCGAACTGTCTGAGCGCCCGTTGGAGAGCGGCACGTGGAACATCACACAGACGGACTACTTCCAAATGACGATGTACTGCACCTTCAACAAAGGGATCATAGACCCTTCGCATGCATATTTCTACTGGACTGACCATGGGAGGGAGCTGGCGAGAATCCCCACCGGCGGAGTCATGATGGAGTGAGTCCGTCAACACGCCGCTTATGCGTCCAGGAGACTCAAGTATCATAGCATAATTCTGGGATGCTTCCCAGGCACGCTCGACACCTTGTGTGACGTGCGTGTCCACCACACGTACCGCGCATATGGTCCCCCAAAGGGTCCGTATGATCTGTATATCGCCTTCCCCGGTGTCGAGAAGCGGCTTTCCAAATTCGGGCGCGTTCATGAATTCGGACATTATTACTGGAAAAATAAAATTGATATTGATAACTAGATCTGCTCATAGGATACCTTGCACAGCGCTTGTAACATGGGGAGAGAACACGCAGCCAAATTCGCCATCACCTGTGCATCCCTCCATCCTGAAATATCGCCATATGTTGTACCCCGCCTCATGTATGAGAGCATCAGATATACCGCGGGGGGTGGTGAGGACGAAATGAAACAGAGATCGCGATCCAACCTACCGCTCGCGTGTTTCAGCTCGTCCATGTCTGCGTCTCCCCCTCGCTTTCTGCCTTTCCCTCGATCGAGGCGCTGCTCCGTCTGATTCCGCGCACGTGGCTGGAAAAAAGCCAAGTTTGAGATGAAGGCGAAAGGAAGGGACGTGAGCGCAACCATACCAACAAACGCCATCGAGGCCCGCGCAATCTACATGAAACGACCGACCACGCAGACGTCAGACAACGAAACTCTTCCGAGGAGCGCTTCCCGACCGTCAGGAGACGCTCCTCATAAAAGCGCGCTCCCCAGTCCGTCGCGCTCCGCACCCTCCACGCCACGCCGCCGCCGCCTTCCAGAACTCGCCGAGTCGCCAGAGTCGATTGCGCAGAGAAGCGTTGGGAGTAGCGCTCGAACGATGTCGGGGGCACAGAGTAGGTACCCACGTTGCCCGGTCATGATAGATGAGGTCAGATGAGCGCAGGGAGAGGGATTGATAGCGCGCGGCGATGCGACTACCCAGCGTCAAGGCTGGGGTACGGCGGGCCGCAGGGGATTCTCTCCGTCGCAGGGTCCACGTACACGACACGAAGACGTGCAGCCCAGATGGCAGCGCCCCCGGCCGAGATATCCTGTACCCCCAGCGCCCACTCCGAGCGTTCGCCAGGCCGACATCTTCCAAGCCACCATCCCGGCATCACACAGTCACGCGCGCCTTGAGTTTAACTCTGAATGGATAGTCAAAGAGACCGCGGGTGACTCGAGGCGCGCGAGACACTAGAAGCCAACGAGCGCAGGAGACACCAGATAGAGTGGTCCACAAAGCGGGCTGGGCAGCAGTCAAACGGTAACCCTCTACGACGGGTCTTGCGCAGAGTCCACATACGCTCAGAGACCACCCTCGCGCGTACGCCCAACCGAACTTACCGAGAGCACCTTCCAATGGCTTCCATCGCTCTCTGCGCTATCAGGCGCCCAGTCCGAGGCGACAGCTTCCAAGGCATGACGCGATCGTCTTCCTAGGCTCGTGACCACCTGGGCTGGTCGAGGGTAAGTCAGTGGCGGTACGACAGGCTGGCCACGCGCGTACCTTGTTCCCCATCACGCTCGACATCTCCCACAAGCCACCTGCCATGCACACCGCAAGTCCCAGCAACCCCCCTCCGTCGCTCGTATCGCAGACGGGCCAGCTGGACGGCGAGACCGCTTACAGCTTCAGCGGACGACGGCGTTCTATGCTCTATCAAGCGCGCAATCTTTGTAAGAGCGGCGGAGCATCTCTTTCCATTACAGAACCACATGCCCGCTTTGACTAACCATCAGGAAGTGTTTAGTGAAATCCTACTAGGTCTGCAGGCGTTGCGCGAAGGACGACAGGCGACCGGTGGGTGTCGGTAGGTCTGCCCTACTGACAGGCCCTCCTCAACTCAACGGGTCGTTCCGACATCGTCCGCGCAACATCGCTGACCGGTTTACCAGCGTACGCGACTCACCTTGTCCAATATGCTCTCCAAATCCTGATCACTGTCCTCCGCCTCCTCCTTCGACTTTCCCTGTTTCTTCTTCTCCTTCTTCTCTACTTTCTGTGCCGCCTTTGCTTTCTTTGCGGCCTTCGCAGCAGACTTCGTTGGGGCGTTTAATTTCTTCTTGGCCATATTTGTTGTGAGGGATCACCGGTCACCATATATGTGACTCCGACATGCACAAGCTTAAGGAGTGGGGGTGGGCAATCCCTGCCAGTGCAAGCCAGCCACTCAATGTTATTGATGATAAATCGTATTTAGGGTCGTAGATTACACGTACGATGCACTCGAATACATAAGGATATTTTATTATGACAAAACAGACTTATCATCATTCGGTGGGAACTCCTGCACGATTCCAGGGAGTCGGGCATGGGGCCCATAACATACACGCTGGAGATCCTACATCATCGAGGAGCCGGTACATATACAAATAAAAGGCGCTAGCTACAATGTGACGAGCCGAGCGTTTAAAAGTTCGCCTGTGCTGGTTCGAAATGGTACAGTGAAATGCCAGTCTACGCAATTGGGACGTCTCAATATACACACCATCCCCTGAGGGACACTGTATCTCTCTAGTCTGCCCTCGCTGCTGGCAGCCGTTCCTTTGCCATAAGTGAAGGCTTTCTCCCATGAAGTGAGAGACGTGAAGCCCCCATTATCAGAGCCTGCGTGATAAGGGAATATGAAGTACCCCTCAGGGGTCGGGATTGTCCCCTGGACAGGGTGCATCCAGTCCATCATCAAGAATCCTTTTAACCCTGACTCCCAAAAACGAAGGGCGATAGTCTCATTGGGGATGTCGATCACGTAGACTTCATCGCCCCGATCAGGTTTTTTCTATGGGGAGCTATGAGCATCAGGGCGCATATGGCAACAAGAAGCGTACCCCGATTATGACTAGATCCTTTCCAGTCTGCAACTTGAACATCTCTTTCGCTTTTTTTATTTCATTTTCTATTTGGGGGTCTTCCCCATGGACTCGCCTCGACGGAACAGGAGTAGGAGGAGGGTTCTATAATGAAGAACACAATATTAGGTGATTAACAGGAACAAAATGTTATGGAGGAGGGTACCTCGCGACGTGCTGACATTTGAGAGAAGACCTGAAATGGCGTGACATGGATCCCGGTTCGCTCTTATATCCTGAGGTTCGGAGACATCCGGGCTGAGTCTCAGATCGACATGTGCACGCGGAGCTTATGTAAAGCTTACATTACTGTGTCGGGAAATCCCGGGCCGAATCACGATCCGTTGAAATCCATTGTGACGCCCGTGAGGGTATTGGGCGTTACAATCTATCGTGAGAAAGGCGAAACTTCATAACTACATCGTGACGCTAATTACAATCGGAGTTGTGATGTCATCAAGATTGCATTACGATCCAATTCAAATCTCTCGGTCAATCCCGTGATAGCCCCGAAATATCGCCCATCTTGATGCTGGCTTTTCATTGTGACAGCATCACAATGCACGAAGCGGAAATGTGATGAAAAAAGAGTCACACTCAAGGATTTTCGGATATCCAACTCATCTCCTATTGGTATTCTTTGGTAATTTGCTTGAATGTAACTGGTCAGTGCGGGATTCGAACTAGAAACCTTCAATAATACAACTATATAACTTACTGAACCGTACCTTTACCGTTAGTCAACATGGGTCATACTAATTAAGAACCTACATATCCTATGTAAGAGGCGTGAAGACTGCACCACTTCGTGCTGCCTGCTCACATCGGCCCAGCGATGACAACAGACACCAGCTGGATCTTTTAAGACATGAATGGTGGAAGGAGAGTGAAATAGACAAACCATGAGCCCAGTCATTGCAGGCCATATCACAGAACAGTGGTAGATACTGTCCCTGAGGTCTTCGAGCCGACGTGCCTTGGGGCAACCTGACACACATTGGCGGATAGCGCGTGGTCGTCGATCGCTGTCGAGGAAGTATGCATGACGCGCGGACACGCGTCAAACTACGGGCTCACTCTTGTCGCCGGCCTTGACACCAGCATCAGGGAGAGCTGCCATACGGTCCTGGCTGACATCCGTATTACGAGCGAGATTAAGGCGGCGCAGGAGGGCGGCAGCGAGGGAGGGGTCAAGAGAGGAAGGGTGGAGAGAGACCCTGATGACGACGACGACAACTGCTCAGCGTTGCGCTTCTCGTACACCTTCTGGTAGGGATGCCTATCGCCTCTCGTTGATCTTCTCCCGGATCTGCTCGGCGGTGACGGAGGCATCGCTAGCCTGGCCCTTGACCACGATCTTGCACAGCTCAGTAACGAGCTTCTGCACCTTCTCCTTCCCCGCGCAGTTGAGCTGGTCCTTGAACTCATTCATCACCGCAAGCCTTATGTTAGCTTCTACTAGTGGATATTAGTAATCAGTGTTGGAGCAGATAGACTCAGCCTTGTTGGACTCGTCGATGAGGTCCTTGCGAGCCTCGTCCTGCTCAGCATACCGCTTAGTGTCAGACACCATCTTCTCAATGCCTTGTCGCTCAGACCAGACGGGCTGGCGATCGTCATCGACTGGTCCTTGCTCGTCGCCTTGTCCTTCACGTTCACGCGAACGATACCGTCGGCGTCGATGTCGAAGGTGATCTCTACCTGGGGGACACCCTTGGGCGCAGGGTAGATGCCGACGAGGTTGAACGAGCCGAGGAGCTTGTTGTCCCGGATGAGCTCGCGCTCACCCTCGCAGACCTTGATCTCGATGGAGGTCTGACCATCCGCGGCCGTCGAGAATGTCTAGGACTTCTTCGTCGGGATGGTGATGTTACGAGTGAGCTTCATCATGATATCACCGAGCGTCTTGATACCGAGAGTTAAGGGGGTGACATCGAGCAGGAGGATGTCAGTGAGGTTACCGGCCAAGACACCGCCCTGGATGGAGGCACTGATGGCGACAGCCTCCTCGCGCCGGCGCGCCGGAAGACTTTGAGAGGGACGTGCTCGTCGAGCTCATGCGCAACGGCGTGGAGCGGCTAAAAGTCGCCGAGGACACGCACTCGCGGATCGAGGTGCGCATTGCTTTGCCCCCTCGCCCTTCCCCTCCTCTTCGCCGGTATTGATTGAACGGATGCGCAGACGCTGTCGGAGATTCACCGCGTGACGGGCGAGGACCGCGACACGAAGGACGTGTTCCGCGAGATGGACGGCTTCCTCGTCGTCACGACTCACAAGCGTGCTCTGGACCGCGCTCTCCGCGCAGGATGGCCACGTACGCGAGCCCGTGGACCAGGTCGCGCAGAACGCGAAGGGTGCGGCAAGGTATATGTTCACGATTCTCTCCGAGGTGATGTTCGAGCATAACGCGAATGCGGCGAAGTGCGCAGCGGTTTCGCTTGTGAGCTGTGTGACCGTCTGACATGGGTGTGGCTTTGGTTGGCAGCGCTCGGTGGGGTACGACTCGTTCCCGCAGGTGGTGGAGCCGCTGGTTCTGGATCCAAGGACGGCGGACTGGACACTCGGCCTGCTCGTCTCGCTCGCGCTGCACAACTTCCTCCTCACAACCCTCTTCAGCACGTTGCGGAAGACAGAGTACACGCAGCTCACCACTAAAATTACCGACTACCAGTCAGAGTTCTGGCTCGTCCGCTACCCCGCTGCGCTCAGGGTGCTCTGGGACTTCCTGTAGGCGCACCTCGCGGGCGACGCGGCCCTGCACCTGTGCGTGTACAAAATCCTCGAGCAGCTGGCGGCGACGAGCCACCGGAACAAGGCTGTGCTGAGCGGCATGGGCATCTTGGCGGCCCTGGTGTCTGCCGGGGGCGACGGCGCGGTCCCGGACGAGGAGCGCGCCGTGAAGCAGAAGCTCCTGAAGCGCCTTATGAACATGGGTAGATATGATATTGAAAGAAACAATACATTTACTTACGTGACCTTTATGTTCAGGGACTGTTCGCGGTCTCCTTCATCTTCAAGAGGACCGTCGAAGACAGTTGCTCTGGTGACTTGGATGAGATCAGCCTTCATGTCAATGTAACATACTGTCAGTGCAACACTTACTTATATGACATCTTCACCCATCCTCAACCTTGACGGTACGACCTTGAATCACCAGTGCTCCATATCCTTCTGTACCTCGGGGTCATTGAACTGGCGCCCGACGAGCTGCTTGAACGTGTAGACGGCGTTCGCTGAGTTGACGATAGCCTGACGCTCGCAGGGGGACCAACGGGGCGCTTGCCATGCTTTGTTAACGCGACCACGGACAGCGTTGTGCGCACCGTCGGCGTTCTCGATTACGCGCAAGCTCTTGCACTCCATGACGGATACACATGAGATTGTCGTTCCCAAGTCAATGCCGAACGTGGGGCCTGGCGGGTAAATAGTTTCAGTACCGGTCTCCTTACATCCGTATTTGGGTTCTACGAGCCTTGGATTTCCGTCTTCATGTTCTGTGCGATCATGGATCATGATTGACGGAATGCCCTGCATCGCAAAGAAGATTAGAAACAGTCTACCAGTATAGCTCAGTGTACACAGTCATATGTGGCACCTACAGCATAATTCCCACAGCCATACACATGCACAGAACACAAATCAGAGAAGACGGCGAGTGGTGAGTCGGAGGAGGAAAGGCGATGGGACGTTGCGCTTTGCGAGGAGCCCCGGTAGGCGTTCTGCATACTTTGCAAGCGCAAACGACAGGAAGTCGGTGGCTGTGAACAAATGCCTGACATAGCCGAAATCATCAATTCGACTATCTAATCAATGTAGATAAAGCAGTCTAAGAGAACGACGAATCCCGATACACAATCAAGATTACTACAGGATGCATGTAAGGATTTACAACGCTAACACGAAGTACCTCTCCTTGTGCTCCTGCGATTTGCAGGCATCAACACATGGGCAGTTTCGGTGACCCCCCCCCGTAGTCGTCTGCGAGTCTGCTTGCCCCGAAGGCTTCCTTCCGGATGGCTTGCGAGACTTGACACTTGGAACTCCTGTACATTGGGGAGGGTATAGACAGGTTGTGAGAGAATAATTATAATGTGTGTGAGCAACGCACCTTCCTGCACACCAACTCCAGCGGACGCTTTCCGACCAGCAGGCTTGCGCTGCCCCACAGTACCTGTGACTCCGAGTTCGGTGGTGGATGATGACGACACCACGGACCGAACGGGAGCTGTCGGGAGTGGTGGAAGGGCGGGTTCCGGAGCAGCGTCCAGGTCAGCCAGACTACCACGATCGTGAACCTGCAGCTGCTGGCTAACAGCCACTGCCAAACCGCCAACTTCATCGACTTCCGAATCTTCGTCAACAGCGTCCAAGGCAGCGATGAGGTCTTCAAGAGATTCCTCGTCATCCCCGGTGCCCTCGACTTGCATGACATCGTTGAGCGAAACCGGTCTCGACAAGAAGAGGTACTTGTTGTACATAGATATTGTAGCCTTGATATTGCCATCGTCCATGCTCGCTATGATAAATTCTTTGTATTTCTTGAAGAGCTTGCTGTAGTCGATGTGCGTGACTGCGCCCATCTCCGCGAGTTCCTTATCAGGCGAGAGCAGGTATATGGCCTGTTTCACAGGATATGAGTATTGGGCAATTTGCAAAAACAGACAGGAACTCTCATACATACCATGATCGCGGCCCATGCAATAGCACCAGGAGTAATTGACATTATCTTCCAAAGCTTTCCGCTCGGGTCTGGCCCACCTCGCTTTTTGGACTCGCCAGTTATTGATGCCTTGCCCCAAAGGGTTGCCTTAAGGATCTATGCGCGGCTTTCAGTTAGCGAAACGACGTGCTGATAAGGACTCTGAGTAGGGAACCACCGCACGGGTAAACCCGTATCGGCCCCGCAATGAGACCTCCGTCGATGGGTCAGGTATGATCTACGTGGGTCTCAGCTTCGAAAACGCGTCAAACGACACGTCTTCGAGACCCGCCGGGTTATGGTTGCCACCGAATGCGACCCGTACCCATGACCTGCACGGGTAACCCGATCCCAGCAGTTCCCTAACCAGGAGTAATCACTCACCTGGAGTAGCGCACGATTACGAAAGGCGTATCGCAAGCGAGAGGCCTTGTAGCGCTTGGCAAGGGGATCAAAAAGGATTGGAGGCCACTTCGGATAACTTGACGAAGCTGTGTCATACTTGAGAAACTCGATGCAGCTGCCTTTGTCTATGGTTTTCAGACGATCTATCGGGATGCCGGAACCCTCGAAAATTTCATTTATGCGGTCTTTCAGCTGGTGCACCTTCTGCGCTCGGACAGCTTTGCACTTGGCGATAAACTGTGCATCATATAGTGAGTAAAATGACAGATTATCTCTACATTGATATCACGTACCTTATCGCTGAAGGACGAGTGACCTTCGGGTCCAACCATGTCATGCATGTTCACTGGTAGGAAGGAATAGAACTCCTCAATGAGAGCAGCCTCTTTGGTCTTGTCAGATTCAAATCGTTCAATACCCACAAGGACCGGAAGCTCTTTCGGCCTCTCGGCAGTGAACAGCTCAAGGTTGGGCCATGGGTCTTGCATGACACCGTATTTGCCGCCTAAAGTCCCGATATCATCTATACGGGCGAGTATGCGATCTGGAATCGCTTTTCCACGCTTCTTGTCCTTGGCGAGCTTCACTTGAAGTTCGGCAACACGAGCTTCCAGTGTCCGTACCTCTTGCAAGGCCTCACCTTCACGAAGCTGAGCTGCCTTACAAGCCTGGTATTCTTGTCAGTGATACTGCAGTAAAGGATAAAGCTATGGATGTACCTCGATAAGCTCAGCACGGCTAAGGCGCTCGAGTGGAACGACTCCCGTGGCAGTACCTGGGCCATTTCGGCCACAACCCTTGTTTAAAGTTGGGCCTCCCTCAGCGGCCGTGACAGCGGGTGCAACGTCTTCAATCTCGTCGCCACTGTCCTGGCAGTCACTATCAGAAAACCCTGTGGGTGAAGGTGCTCGTGCGTGAGGCATGCTACAACTAGGCGACAAACAGGTTTGAGTCTGCTGGCATTTTATATATATTATGTCCAGTGCTACGCCGCATTGTGCTTACATAAGCGACCATTGTCGGGTACAATCCTGACACATTGATATACTCTCCCTAATATGTTTCTGAATAAGCAGTAATCTAGGGGTAATTGTCCCCGACAGAGGTTTGTGTTCCGGTGAGATGGAGAAGCTGGTATTCCGGAGCTTTGGGCACATCATGCCTCAACTCCTTCTTTCTGCCTAATGATCTGTGAGTTTGATTTTTTTCTGAAAGATATATAGCTGGTACATTACTTGATGCTGTCTATATGTATATACCACTGCAGCAGGATGCGAAGGAAACCCCACATATGTGACCTTCAGCACTGACCATCCACTAAATGTCTCATAACTGGTGCCCCCTGATTCAGGGATCTACCACTAAGCTTCATTTTATTCAATCTGCTGTACATGTTTATGGGAACTTATGGCCTAAAAACAACAAGTGTCAGATGTGCATATATGATATGACAGCCACAAGTATTTCTGAGCATGGCTGAAATGACACATGTGTGATATCTTGTATGGACTGGACAGCAGCATGGGTACAGGAATTTGTGAGAAAGGTTACTAACACATATATCTTAGGCACCATACAATTCCCGAAGCCGGAGGAACATGTCACCATCTATGACATCTACTGGAAAGAAGTCCCCATCTGTTTTGAAGTCAGGAACAATGAAGGAACCACGGATGACAGTTTCCAGTGAAATGAATTCTGAGCTTTTCCGAGGCCTCTCTCGCAATCGATGGAATTTAAGGTCCTGGTCTGTTTGTCGGCGCGCCCCTGCTCCTGCATCCAGAGGCTGTATTAGAGCCAATGGGTACACTTTTCCTCCTGTGCTGCAAGTGAAGACATAGAGCAGCTTTGCAAAGATATTGCCAGCTATGGTGTTGACTATCACTGAGTCATGACGTTCATGGTGATGAAAGTCAGGACTACACCGTAGATGGTCAGTTTTTGCTTGCCAGTCGACCATGGATTCATAAGTGACTTTCACATATCGGTGTTCCTTGATCTATGAATTAAAGACTTTGGTTAAAATTTTGACAATATGTAGAAAAGTATTGCTCACCTTATCATACTGGTCAAAATGTATTGGACGGCCTTCCGGAATAGGTATACCATGGGCTGGTAAGAAGGTGCTGAAGAACTTCCCAAGTTTTATGCGGAAATTCTTGAATGCCAGATCCTTTCCATGCAGATCTTCCAAGTCCTTGAAAGTAATGGGTGTCTGAGGTGAGCCAAGAGCTATGTGCATTATCCCAACATCATCGTACTCTTCCCCAGGTTGGTTGTAAGCATCAAGGCAAGTTATATGTTCCCGGATGAGAGAAGACACCAACTTCCAGTGATCTTCTCTCAGTATCTGCACATTGAGTATTAGAAGTAAAACCATGTACTGTGTTATCTTGTATTGAAGATTACCTGGCCAGCAACCTGCTTATAGTTTGTATGGCGATATGCCTCCTTCAGAGGCCCATGGACCTTCTCATTGACCTTCGTATTGTAGACACGGGTTGCACCTTTAGCACGTATATCATCAAAGACATGCTTATGTGAGTGTGCCTTTGGGAATTCCCAATCCTTGTCACACCAAGGTCCAGGAGGTTTTGGGGCATCAATATATTCCTAAATGTCATGTGAAGCTAATATGGGCAAAGTAACAAAGATACTACTCACCTGCAATTTTAGTGAAAATTTAGCAAGGGTCTGCTGCCCTGCTTCAAGAGTATCACTGGTATGAACTTCCAGCCCAACATATATATCAAGCTCAAGGTATAGCCTCAGGCACTGCAGCAATAAATGGATATGTGCATGCTGCCGTCGATCAAACAGATTATAGATAGCATAGAGAAGGACCTGCCAGAAACATATGTTGAAGCGGTGGATATCATCATATCAAGGTACTCTACCTTTGACAAATCTTCAAACTTTTGACCATCGGTGAATTTTGTCTTCATAACTTCATTGAAGTGATTGAAGTCACGCCATCGGGGCAGCTCTCCCACCCTAGAAAGTAAGTTATTATGTAGAAACTAAGACTTAACTATTAACTTGGTTTATCTTACTGTTTTTCGAGTGTTGTTCCAGCAGCACGTCCCAGGTCTTCAATATATAGCTTCAGTTGTGGCCATATATGCCGGCCGAACAGGCCACCATGGTAAGCATGGAGCCGGTCAAAGCTTAATGCCAGATATGGATCAGAAAGGCAGATCTTCCAGAAAACATTCTGTAGTGGGCAATCAGACTACTGTCAGCAGATAGTATTTGAAGCCATACAACTCCTGCTCGAAGGCCATATGACTTGAGTAGCTGTTCACCTGCAGTGCGTCCTAGCTCTTTTGCTTTATGAAATATGGCCTGCATCGTAGCAGTGGTTCGTAATTCATATTCTTCAGAAGTGTCCACAAGGTTCTTGGCTGGGGCGAGGCAGATAGGGCAAGGGCATAGACCGCGAAAGCCACGTATGAGAGCCATGACACATCTGGATAAAAGGAATTTTTATTTCTGTCTATCATGATAATAGGTTGCAAGACTTACTGCTCCTCATAGTCTGCAGACAAGATAAGAACTATGGGGAACAGAAATCGTATGATCTGATCAGCACACTTGAAGTGATAGCCAGTACGGGAATATTCTGCGACAGCCTTGAGTACTGCATAAAATGCTTCATGCCATACAATCTGCTTGAAGTCAGCATATCCAGCTTTTCCTGAGTCACTTGGGTTCTCCTTCACCTGTCCCAGAATTCAATTGTGAAGTCTGAAGAAGTATATTTAACATACAATTGGTAGCCAACCCACAACTCGTCCACCTGCAACTCCAGAGTTATTCCGGACAGCAATATCTATATTCGCAATGCGGGCAATGACAGGATAGCCCATCTCAGTCCCAAATGAAGACAATTTTGTCTTGTCTGCATAGAGAATGAAGCAGAGTGGTTTTGCATCTTTTGGAAGAGATGACTAACAAAACAATCAGCAATACCTGCAGGAAGGCACCAGTGTATCTACTTACTTGAATATCCCACCACCGGTCAGCTGTCCATGGTTCATATAGGAATCGCTTAAACTCAGAGCCACTATACTTATAGCAACGTTGGGCATCCCAGTGCCAATACTTCATCAAGTGTTCCTCCCGCAGAAGGTCAAGGGCCCAGTTCCAGATCGGCCTGTAATATACTTGGTATTTCTTTTCTGCCTTCCCATATGTTGCAGTGATGGTTTGTGCTTCAAACTGACACACAACACTCATTATACATTAGAGAACATAACCATAGTATGACTAGCTTACAGGAGTACACTTGAAGGATGCACTCTCCCAGGTTACAGTCAGCTCTGCGTGATCACGCAGTGTAAATGGTTCACCCGCAACAGCCCGATGACACAGCGTAAACAGCGTGTCAGTCTCAGCTTTCGTGAGACCAGCACGGAGAGCAAGCTCTGCAAACTCGAAATCAAGCCGTGATTGAAATGGTCGCCATGGCTCACTGTCCGGAGGCGGTGCTGGGGTAGAATCTACCTCACGTCGATAATCCGCAAACCGGTGGATCTCGGGCGGGCGGCCACTATGAGGGTGCCATTCAATCTTGATATCGTCAACTTGAAGACGTTCTTCAGACTCGTCACGGTTGGTCGCCGCCGATGGCTGTTCCTGTTCGAAGGCATCTACGACACTCGTTAGACATTTTGACAAGCAGATGATACAGCAGCAGTGCTGCTTCGAATGCCGAGCTTACCGGGCTGGATGGATGCTGACCCATCGTATGATTGCTCCGCAATATTGACAAACCCTGTGGACGAACGTGGACCATGTGTAGCGAGTGTGATGGTGTTCACATACAACTCACCTGTTCCACGTACTTGAGATCTTCGGGCCTTCTTTGCGGCTAGCAGATATCATTATTAGTTGAACCATGCCACTATGGTGGAAATCACTCACCTTGCCGTCGTTCCTCACCCTTGTGGCGAACCTTCTCCTCGTACAACCGGTTGCGCTCCATGTCGGCAAGCTCCCGCTCACATTTCCGCTGGTGGCTCGCTAGCCCCGAAGCCCCGAACTGTTTCCCGCATAGATGGCACTCCTTCTGTGCAGCTTTGGAACGATGTCGCGCAGGCGCCATGTCACTCTTGAGGATCGATGAGAGTCGATAACTATACAATCAATGTACATAGATTACAAAGATTTCTGGCTGAGAAAGGATTGCCTAGACCGTCATGTAGACTCTGCTGGTAGAAGAGTGACCAGAGGACCGAGCGCGAGCTTGTATGCAGGACGTGTCGGACGACGAACCTGCACGATATCGATAGCGAAACTAGACGTCATCACAACGGCATCATGAATCCCTCGCAATCGCAGCGTCCTAACTAAATCAGGTTATAATTACCTTATGAGGATATTGTGACGGGTAGGTCATTGTGATGGGCGTCTGAAATTTCCGACATGGGAGCCCCGTCCACTTGTTCTTCAAGTCATAGATAGTTTTTTTATATTCATGTATACTACCTTTATGATATGACATTGAGACATGTATCGGAGTAGTATGAAACACATGAACTATTTGACTGGGTGGAGAGTGCAACAAGGAGAACATCAAGAAAACAATACCAGACTAAGATGAGATTGCGACGAGAAAACAAGAAAAGCTGTCCGTCAAGAAAACAATTGCAGCCACGCCGTAACCGCACTGCTCATCTTCAATGCACCAAGGGCGCTAACGGTCTTCGCGTTAGCTCTCCTATATCATGTATGGACGCGCGAGCAACTTACCGAGCATACTCTCACAGTTTACCCCCAGCCTCTTCATGATCTTCTTGACTCGCGAGGTGTCGTACCGCAGCTTCCGCGTCCACGCCGATCGGTTCAACGGCACTGCACTCCCACTCCGAATATCACCCAACCGCTTTTGATACCATAGCTCTGCCCCCGCGTCCAGTACCCCGCTAGCCCTGGACCTGACGCGTCCCAAGTGCTCTCCGTCAGCCACCACATCAGTAAAACCGGGAGGTGTCTGAAACGTCTGATATCAGCGTTCTCAGGGCGCCTCAGGCCGCCTCAGACCAACTTAGGACGTTTATACGCAGAGAGCTTCAGAACCTGACTTTTGAGCGGTAAGACAGTGAACGGTGAATATTTTCAGACCTCCTCACACTTCAGATATCTAGTGGCGAAGCTTTGGTCAGACTGCTCAGCCGGTTAGGCTTCGCAGACAATTTACAAGAAAATGCAATATATTGGGGAAATACATGTACTCGAGAATGTAATTATTAGGCGTGAAATTAAAATGAGTGTAACAGAGATAAAATGGAGGAAGGACAAACACAGTATGAAGAGCAAGAACATGATGAGAACACAATATATTCACAAATCCCCTGGGCAGAAAACCGTTAGCACGCCGCATGACAACAGGATGACAAACGAAAAACATACATATTCAAGACCCTCCGATACAAGCATGCACAGCGGTGGACACCTACAGCACTCATTTTCGCATTCAGGTGACATCAAGGAGAGTATTGAAAACTTACCTATGCATCCGAGTCCTCGGGGACAGGACTGCTTGCATCCCGGATAGCAGTTCGAGAGCGGCGGCAGCAGTGGACTTTCCATTGCGGCTTCTTGACAAGGGTGTTGGCTTTGTACAAGAAGTGCTCGAACCGGTGCGGCTTCCTATAGAACGTGGAGACAGACCCGTTCACCCACAGCTCGGTCATGTCACCCACGTCGACTTCTGAGAAACTTGTCCCGTCTGATTCATACTTCCTGGTCTTCCACATCTCCAGCACCCATTCAACCTACCCATAGTCAGATTCCATGAGAGAAGGCAAGGGCAGTGACATACCGCAGTGATTGTGAGTGCCAGTCCACCTCGTGGTAGACCACACGAGATCTGGCTGCCCTTCGTTGCCGTGATATGGCATTGGAATGTTTTCAAGATGTACGGCGAGCACAGCGCGTCTTTAGTTTGTTTCGGATTCTAGGCCGAGATGTGAGTGACCAAATATGAGTAGACAAGGAAACTGACATATGGTAATGTTCGGCTTACCCCAGAATGCGTAACCGTGATCGTCGAGAGCATCACGGACGAATGTCTGGATCTCTTGCCGTTTATCCGGGCCATCTCCTCCTCCACACGCCAGAAGGTCCTTTCGCACCACCTCTTTGGCTACCCGGGCGAAGTTGGCCCGCCAGTTATATACTGCTTGCTGCGCCTGGTCCAAAGATTAGCTCTAGCAACCCTCAGTGGAATAGATGAGATCGTACCATCTTGAAGACCTTGTCATTGAGGGTGATGCTGAGGTGCTCCTCCGGATAGACCCGGTCAATGACTGATTGTAAGGTCGTGCGGAATGAGCTGCCACTTGTCGATGAGACCCAGGGGTTTGGCTCAGCACCAAAGTGCTCTACCAGGCTAGGGATAAGAGCAGTGTCCCACTTGAGGCGTGCCCAGTCTGGAAGGGATTGCTTTGCCATCGAACGCTCTTCCGGTACTGTTGATTTGGGAGCCCGAGCCTTGACCATCACCATCTGAACCTGCGAAGGCATTAGCATACCAGACCCTGAGGATATGACCATGGGACGCACGCGACGGTTGACGGGCTGCCCATCTCAGTCCCACATTGGTTGCACGAGCACATCGTCGTCTGTAAACCCTCCAAGGCCATTGGTCTTGAGAGCCGAGGAAGAATCCGAGGAAGATCCGAGATCGGAGTTTGATACCTGCCGGACTTGCAGCAGCAGAGGATTGACGCCATTGCACCAATTGGGCACAAAGGCAGAACCCGATTTAGACTTCTTCATCGTCTTATCGGAATCAGCGCTGATTAGATAGTTAATATAGAACAGTGGCCAGTATAAGAGAAGTACAAGCATACTTTGTATCCGACTTCCTCTTACCCTTACTTGCAGGTGTCTTCCTGGCATTCTCGACAGAACCGCGTATCTCTTGCTGTTGCTCTCTCTTCGTTTTCTTTGCCTGTAGAGGTAATGTATCCAAGTCAGACTCCGGCATACCAGGTGAGCCGGCAGACTTACCTTCCTATCCGCCTTTGGTGGCAGCATCTCCTGCTCCGAGGCAGACTCAGCATCAATCATCTCGGCATCTGTCATCCCAGATTCCATGAAGTCATCGGCGGAGGTAGCATCATCTCGGGCACCGGGGCCGAAGTTGACGTCCATCTCTCGATCAAGATCACCATTGGCATCGAGCTCTTCCTCAGGAACGACTTATGCCTCTTTCTGCCTCTGTTCCTGCTCGACTCTCATATGTTCGACTCTCAGTTAATCCTCAAATGCTGCTAGCTCCGTGACTGCTCGATCGTGCTCCTCTCGCTTTTTCAACAGAGCGGCCTCTTTTTCAGCCAGCCGCGCGGTCTCCTCTGCCTGTCTTCTGGCAGCATTGGCTTGGACCTCCTGCATGGTCCATTTCTGCAGCCCGGCTGAGATGCCAGGGTGTGGGTCATTGCTCTTTCGAGTGGCATATGGGTGTGGCTGGGGAGCTACGGGAGTATCAATGGGAAGAGGGTTTTCAGGTATGTTGTCATGTCGATCCATTGTTGCCTTTCTCTGCTTCGCAGAAGCAGCTTTCGTCTTTCGAGTGAGCGGTTTACTGATTACTGTGACGGCAGGGGCCTCGCGCAACCCCAGTTGTCATCTGCAGCAGCGGCCGGCGCTGGTTTGGCGGATTTACGAGTTGTTCTAGCCATGAAGTGAGTGAAATGAGTGTGTAGAGTATGGTGGATAGAGGCGAAGTATGTGTGAGCTGGCAGAGGTTGCGTTTGTTTGTCATGCACCACCTGCCGATGGTGTTACCCGCTAAGTACGCAGTTGGTTTCCTTCGTTACTTGACTGTCCTGTTGTAATACCCTGCCATGGCTGTTCCCCGCCGCTTTGTCTGTAAAACATGCAATAGATCATTTCTGAAACCCCGAGGACTTGCTTTTCATGAAGCTAGAACGCACTTGTACCCAAGACCCGAGCCTCCTCATTCTACTTTCCATTACCATGCTGACTTGAATGGTAAGCTCTACACGAATATCTTGTATTCACGGGTCAATTACCATGCTCAAAACTATATAACGACATAGCTCAACCTTGCAACGAAGACAGAGAGTATCTGCCCAACTACATTCAGCCCCCTGGTCGTGAACTGCCCGGAATTGACAACTGGTTCCCATTCGACAGCCGCCCATCATTCCAGTTTGCCGAGCTCATATTCAAGAAAGTCCAGATGTCCGCAGGAAACATAGATGAGCTGCTGGAAATATGGGCAGCTCATAACACCTTATCAGGCTCCAACAACACTGTGTTCAAAGATGCAAAGGATCTGTATAGCACCTTGGATTCAATTCCCTATGGTGACGCGCCGTGGAGCTCTTTCACCGTACACTACACAGGTGAACTCCCTCCCGATGCCCCATCATGGAAGCGAGCGGAGTACACGGTCTATTGTCGGGATGCTCGGACCATCGCCCACAATATACTTGACAACCCCGGCTTTGATGGAAAGTTCGACTACATACCGTTCGAAGAGTACACTGGGCCAGGGAAGCGGCAATACTCGAACCTGATTTCTGGGCGGTGGGCACACCGGAAAGCAGTAAGCTGTTCGACTGGCAGTTTCAAATTACAATACGCTGACTCAGGACATTTAAGACGCACATCGCCCAAGACCCAGCTACTCACGGGGCTATGTTCGTGCCCGTTCTCCTTGGGGCGGACAAGACAACCGTGTCGGTCGCTACCGGCAACAACGAATTCCATCCTGTTTACATGTCACTGGGTAATCTACACAACTCTGTACGCCAAGCACACCGGGATGCAATACTGCCAATTGCCTTCCTCTCTATTCCGAAAGGTATGCTGATATCACCTTGAACTCTCCGTCATGTCTGACTCTTGCCTCAGCTGCGCGTGAGCAAGATGATACAGACGAGTTCCGACTCTTCAAGAAGCAGCTGTACCACGCGTCGTTGGCGCACATCATGTCACTGCTGAAGGCTGCAATGACTACCCCGGAGGTTGTGCGTTGTCCCGACACACACTTCCGGTGTGCTATCTATGAACTGGGTCCGTTCTTGGCCGACTACCCGGAGCAGGTACTTCTGGCAGGGGTTGTCTCGAACTGGTGTCCTATGTAGGTCTCCTTTGCTATCAATCATTCAAAATTCTTACTCATTACATGACAGATGTGATGCTCTACCTGAAGACCTTGGGACATGCGGAGAACCGCGTTGTCAGGAACACATGCACTTCCTCCTAGAGCGCTTTGATCCTGGGGTCATCTGGACAACCTGGGGACTCGACGTGAACGTGATTGTATGTTCGAATGCCATTGGTTTTGGTACTCTTACTGATGACTACCTAGGCATTTACGAGCCACTTTCCTCGAGCAGACATCCACGAGCTCATAACACCTGACCTTCTGCATCAACTCATCAAGGGGACGTTCAAGGACCACCTCGTCACATGGGTGGAGCATTATCTACACGCGGTACATCCGACATCATTGGCCGAGAAGATAATGGATGATATTGATCGAAGATGCGCTGTATCCTTGATTTCATTTGCATGCTTGAAAACTGACATACCTGTGCCAGAATTGCAGCTGTACCAGCGTTTCCAGGACTTTGACGATTTCCCGAAGGAAGAAATTTCAAACAGTGGACTGGTAACAATTGAAAAGCGCTGATGAAGGTATGTTCTTCGCACCCCACTCAGACCAGTCTAGTGACTCCCTTTCATCTCTTGTTAGGTCTATCTACCTGCAATAACTGGACATGTGCCAGATGAAATGGTAAAATGTTTTGCGGCTCTGCTCGACTTCTGCTACCTAGCCCGGCGGTCAGCGCACAACGATGATACCCTTGCTGCGATGCAGAAGTCCCTGGACCGGTTCCATCAGCACTGAACGATCTTCGAGAAGGCCGGCATCTGTCCCGATGGCTTCACGCAGCCTTGACAACACTCATTGGGGCATTACATAACAGCAATCAGAAACTTTGGCTCTCCAAATGGAGTCTGTACGTCCATCACCGAGTCGAAGCACATCCGTGCGGTCAAAGAACCCTGGCGCCGATCGAGTAGGAATAATCCGCTGGGGCAAATGCTTGTCACTAATCAGCGGCTCGACAAGTTAGCTGCAATGCGCCCGGTGCTTGAGGGCTCCGGGATGCTGAAAGGGTCCGTTCTTGCCAACGCAATGCTCGATATGGGCTTGCTGAATCCCCAGGACTTGAATGAAGAACATATTCGAAACAATGACAGTGTAGATGGTGACAACGTGGATGTCCATGATGTGGACGGACCGGCGGTGATGTCGTATGTGGAACTTGGGAAGAAGCCAGGTATATTCTATGTTTGTTTGTGGTGCTCTTGGGGCTCATGCGAAGTAATCAGCATATTCACAGAGCTTGCAGTCCCTCGCAAATGAGCTCAACAAACCAGATCTCGAATTCCTCATCCGGCGGTTTGTCTTCGAGCAACTGCAAGATGCTGCCATTCCACACGACAGCGGCGACATCAATGTGGATGATCTGCCATCCGTGGATGACCGAGTTCGTGTCTACCGGTCCGCTAGCGCAACCTTCTTCGCCCCTAGTGAGCTCGCTGGCGACAGGGGAATGCATCGCGAAGTTATTCGCTCGAACTCACGCTGGCGTAATGAGTTTGCGCAGTTTGATACTGTGCTCATTTCTCTCGATCCCGAGCAGGATGGGATGAAAGGTATGGTAATCGGGCGCGTTCTCAGATTCCTTTCGGTCCGTTACAAGCGCACTCGGTACCCCTCTGCCATTGTAGAGTGGTTCGTGTGACGTCACGACAGACCTGACCCTGTGACGGGTATGTGGGTTGTCAAGCCGGAGATGACTGCTAGGGGACGTTCTCTAGGCATTATTCACATTGATTCCATCGTTCGTGCGGTACATCTCATAGGGGTCTATGGTGATACCTAGATACCCAATGATTTTCACTTCTCTTACTCTTTAGATGCATTCAAATTTTTCTATGTAAACAGATATGCGGACTATTGTAATCGTGGGCGCTTACGCCATGATCTTATCGGTCGATCCACGGAAGCTTTCGTCATAGGTTTCGGGATCAGAGTCTATGATTGGCTGGTCAAACTTGGTTCATTCTGTCGTTTCGCTCGCCTTATAAGGCTGCGAAACTCTGCTTGTATTTTATCTTCTTTTCCCCCATCTCACGCTAAACACATCTACAGGCTACACCCCCTTTCAACTCCGCCACGGTTGCTCTCCCCGTGTTATTCCACCCCTCGACCCTGGCTCTGCTCCGTCTTCTGAAACTGTCGACGCTCATTCGCTTATACAACGCCTTGACAATGACGTTGCTGAGGCCCGCGACAACCTCTTCGTGTCCAAGATCGACCAGGCATACTTCGCAAACAAGCATAGGGGCCATGAACACATCTACTCCCCGGGCGACTATGTCCTACTCTCTACAAAGAACAGACGACAGGACTATAAGAGAAAAGGCGAGTTCAGGGTTGCTAAATTTATGCCTCGGTTTGATGGTCCGTACAAGGTCCTCGAGGCACACCCTGAACATTCAGTCTACACCCTTGATCTTCCCCCGTCGACCAACATCTTCCCTGAGTTCCACGCCAAGCATCTAATCCCGTATCACGCTAACGACGATGACCTCTTCCCATCCCGCAAGCTCCCACGGCCGAGTCCTATCGTCACTGAAGATGGCGAACAAGAGTGGCAAATCCAGAAGATCATCGAAGCTCGTCGAAGAGGGCGTGGCTGGCAATACCTCGTTCGCTGGGTCGGCTACGACGAACGTGACGACTCTTGGCTCCCGGGACGCGAAGTACAAGACTGTCAAGCCCTGGACGATTGGCTCAAAAGTCATCCTCAAGACGGCCCTCAAGATTCTTCTGAGGGGGGAGGAGTGTAATCGTGGGCGCTTACGCCACGATCTTATCGGTCGATCCACGGAAGCTTTCGTCATAGGTTTCGGGATCAGAGTCTATGATTGGCTGGTCAAACATGGTTCATTCTGTCGTTTCGCTCGCCTTATAAGGCTGCGAAACTCTGCTTGTATTTTATCTTCTTTTCCCCCGTCTCGTGCTAAATCACATACTGTGTTCTACGTTCGTCTACGTGTCTAAGTCTCTCGATAACGCCTCCGGCTAGTGAGGCCTAGCGGCCTTTCAACTATCATTCTCATGAGTGTATAATATAGCTATCAGTACATTAGCTAGTCTAGAGTAGCCACTACAATATGTACACTGGCATAATCAACTCCATATCTAAAAATCTATCGAGTCTGTAATCCTGAGAAGTCTGAGATATAGACTCTCAGGCCTTACAGACCATTTAGAGGTTGGCGGATTTCCTGATGCAGGAACAAAGCACCTCTTGGTTGCCTTGCCCTGTCCTCACGATTAGTCAATATCATACCACCCATGTTAAAGCTACATACCCGTCATTAGATTGTACTGCCCCACAATGACAGTGATCTCTCCTTCCAACAGAGCTTCCTCCCATATGCCCCCGCCTGGCACATCATCGAGACACTCGCCGCCGCCGTGGTGGATGGCATACAGCGAAGGGCCGTCCTGCGCCAGGAGCATGACACAATCCAGTCCCAGGACCTCTGATGAAGAGTTATGGAGGCAGCAGCACGCACAGTGCGCCCTACACAACTCACCTGTATTGGTTGGATGCTGTAGCTACTGGTAAAGCTTGTATGAACGACCCTTGTCATTAGGCAGCAGAGCTGCAGGGTTTATATACACAGTGGCCCATAGGCTGACTAAGCTACGTGGAATATCCCTAATCCTACTGAGCTCCACCTATGATGTCACTGACCCACATGAGTTCCGTGCCATTGTACAATAATGGAATATACCAGAATATTCCAGAGGGTTCCGGTACGTTCTGGTATGTTGTAGAACCTGGCAGCTAAGTCAGTGCCTAGTTCAACAACCTCGACGCCAAGTCGCCACAGGATTCCCCCACTCATCGCCGCCATGCGGCCACTGCCCTGGTCGCAGAGTAATTTGTAACACCGGGACAAGTAGTCGGTGTAGTCCATGTCGCACCACACATGACCAGGTTCGCGGTAGTAGAACGGCACCCTTTCGACCTTTGGTAGCTCGTATCGATGTTGAGGCAGGTCAACTGGCCCAGCCTGTCGAATACCCAACGCGGCGAGCACCGCCCCCAAGCGATTCATCCTTCCAGCGCCGACCAAGTCTTCCACGATGTTGATGGCATGGTTGGCATCCACCGAGGTTGTTAACCAGATACTTGGCTCTGTCGCCGTTGAGATCACCCAGAATCGGGCACCCTTGCGGCAAAGTCGAATCCCGGCGGGCAGGTTTGTTCGCCTGTTGACCGCGTGGAAGACGCTGTCCCTCACCGGAAGGTCATCGTCGCCCTTGAGCCACCTCAACAACCTTGTACAGGAGGCTTTCACCCTGACCGTTTGGTGCTGGATGAAGTCCAGATTCATCTCACGTATAAGCATCAGCCACCTTGCAGTCTCCTCCGCCTCCCCCTGGTTGTCTTCTCCGTCATCTTTCGGCACCCTCAGTCCGTAACGCCTCTCCAGTAACCTACGCAACACAACGTCAGGCAAACCCCCAATGTTTGTCACTGGCGGCGCGTCTTGGTTTTGGCCCCCCCGTCATCCGCGTCCTCTTCCTCTTCATCACCCTCGTTGTCAGCCAGCTGCCCTTGTTGTGCTTCGTCACCCGCCCCCTCCTCCATCTGGACGTCCTCGGTCCCCCGCCTGTCAGAGTCTGTCGAACCCCCTGCTGTGACCACCCAAGCCGCGTCGTCGTCGTCGTCCAACCTCATCTCAGACCAGCTCGATGTCGACGGCCCGTCTTGTGACATCCCTGATGATGACGGCGGAGCAGGAGGGTGAATCTCGTCCACCATGTTCCAATACTCCGTTCTTGACCCCTCCCCTGCAACGCTTGGTCTTCGAGCCAACTCAGGCGACGGGACGTGGGGAGTAGATGCATGGCCCAAGCAGGGAGCAGGAGTCGGGGGATCAGGACTGGGTGAGCGAGGAGGGGAAGGAGTTGCAGGACCACGAGGTGATGGACTTGGAGGCGGGGTAGCACGGCGCAGTGGAGGTGACCCGTTCGATCGCGATTGGCGGCGTCGACGGCTCTCTCTCAATGGGCAGACCGATAGCAGGAATCGGCGGTGTTCTCGTGGCAGCAGGTGTTGACTCCATTGGATCTGACTGCCCAGGCTCCTGCGGTGCAGCCGGTCGTTCTTCCTCGTCGGAGAAGCCAAAGTCGTCGTTGTCGAAGCACGAGTATGGATCCTCGCCTGGCGGCAACGGGTCCTCTAACACATTGTCGTAGACGTCCCACTCGTCGTTGATGGGGTCGTAGAATATTTTTGAGTAATCGACACCCTCCAACGTTGACTGCCTGTTGTCATTGGTCACCCGCTCCCGGACGTGTCGGTCGTCGCCGTCGAGGTACCATTGGTAGACGTTGGCGTTTGTCTTCCTCCTCCCTGGCATCGCGCCCTCACGGTAGTCTCACAATCGATTCAACACCGCTTCTTGCCTCCTCCGGGAAAGGTTACCCCACTGGTGCTCCATGATCTGCCTCCTCCGGGCCAGATAGGGTTGCAACTCTTCCCCAGGCTTCTGGGACCGATTCGTATTGACATGGGGTCCCCTCTTCTGCATCGCCGCTGGCTTAGGAGCTGACATCTGTTCAAGCGGGTCCGGAAGTGGTTGGGGCTGGCTCTGCGTCGGCCACGTCGAACCGCCCGAGGAAGTTGTTGTCGATGGTCCTGCTGCACTCCCCGCCGCTGGCCACCCGCCAGCCTCTGTTGAACCCCATGGGGCCAAGCCCATCGTTCCCCATCCGTCTCCTGCCGACGTCCCCCATCCATCCCCTGCTGATGTCCCCCATCCACCCCCTGCCAACGTCCCCCATCCACCCCCTGCTGATGTTCCCCATCCGCCCCTGGACGATGTTCCCCATCCGCCCTCGGACGATGCTGCCGCTCCATCCCCAGATTGCCATGCGATTGTCGTCAAGTCCTTCGTCCGGGACCGCTTGTCCTTTCTCTTACCCGCCGCTTGTTAGGAAGCGATGTCCTAACTAGTCGTCTTGAGGTAACTGGGCCACGTGCCAACAGTTATGTCGTCACTACCTCAGTAAGCGTACTGAAAGGTAGGTCTGGCCGGGCCAATGCCAACGGTCAAGTCAAGAGTCCAGGTAATCGCTGTATTCAACAGGAGGTTGAACTAAGGAATACATGGGTTTTCCTACAGTATATATAGTAACTGGTATAGGGGTTAATACCCAAAGAAGAGAACAATAAGAAAGGACGCGTAGGCCATCCTGCGAGAACGTAACTCAGAGAAATGAGAAATACAAGGGCGCCCATTGGTAGAAGGTGAGTCAAGGAAGATAACATGTGAGAAGAAGATAGCGTCCATGGGAAGGTCTACTCGGAGAAAGGTACTGTCCAATAGCAATGCTCGGAATGGAAATGGAATGAGATAAGCATGGGAAAATCATAACATTACCCCCTTCCTATGGTCGAAGTTTACCCAAACTTCCTAGTTATGACCGGTTACTGAACCGTCCAGGT